GGCAGATTGATTGATTGTAAAGTGATTGATTGTGGATCAGTTTATTGAAGATTGATTGGTTGTAAATTGATTGGTCGTAAATTAATTGGTTGTGGATTGATTGAATGTAGATTGGTTGTAGATTAATTAACTGTGGAATGCCTGGTTGTAGATGGATTGATTGCGGATTGATTGAATGTAGATTGATTGTAGATCAATTGACTGTAGATTGATTGATTGTAAATTGACTGACTGTAAACTGATTGATCGTAGCTTGATTAATAATATGGCTGCAAGACATGTTAGCTAGAAACATGACTTGTTGTTTACAAGACTTGCTGGCTTCAAGATTCTTTGGCCACAATACCTGTTGGCTATAAGACTCATTAACTACAAAACTCATTCGCTATACAACTTGTTTTCCTACCAACTGAAAATGTGTAATGTGTCCCGCGAACTCTTATGACCTTATGCAGTTGCAAGCGCCGTTAAACACTTACTAAAAAAAACCAAACAACTTGTTGGCAACAGAATTCATTGGCTGTAAGACTTGTTAGCTACAACACTTGTTTGCTATAAGACACATTCACTACAACACCCATTGGTTACAAGACTTGTTGGCAACAAGATTTGCTGGCTACAAGACTCATTTATTGTCTGCCTCAGACAAGAGAAAAAAACCAAAACAAACAGGAACGATCTCAACAAAGCGCATATCTCCATTTTTAATAACAGTGAAAACAGTTCATAACAAAGAGTGAGCATAAGAAGACGTCACATTTTCACTGTTTAAAAAAAAAAGGAGATACGACAAGAAAGCAATGAGGTCGCGAAAGACCGGTCCCTGACCTTCAGCGGCCGAGGAAGCCTTGGCGACGAGCTTGGGGTCAAAGTCTGGGTTGGTGAGGTAACTCTTGCGGATGATGGTCATGACAGACTCCGGGATGTTGTCCTTGTCGTACTCGCGCAGCGCACCAAGGAAGTTCATGTCGTTCAGCAGCTTCTTGCTGGGGCCCCAGAAGTCCTGGATCTGTCACACCGCAACAAACGGTTGTTGTAGTGATGATGATGATGAGGAGGAGGAGGAGGATGATGATGAGGAGGAGGAGGAGGAGGACGAGGAGGAGGAGGAGGAGGAGGAGGAGGAGGAAGAAGATGATGATGATGATGATAATAATAATAATAATAATAATAATAATAATAATAATAATAATAATAATAATAATAATAATAATAATAAAGATGATAAAATAATATTACAGCAACTAGATAACGAGAATAGTTACAATAATATTAATGATGGTAACATCATAAAAATTACAATCTAATAATAATAATAATAATAATAAAAATAATAATAACAATAGATTTTAAAAAGTTTTTAGTAAGGTTTTATGGCGTTTTACAAGGGATTTAATAATAATAATCATAACAATAATAATAAGACAATCATCATACCTATTATAATGACAAAGCATAGGATGATACATCATTATCATCACAATGATGCATCTGATGTGAATGTACATTTTGTCAGCTTTACTTCTCTTTTCATATTGAATTTTAATGAGAGTAATATATAATTTAAATTTTTTAATGTATACCTGATGTGTTTTTACGGTCCTGTACAGCCAAGGAAGATTTCCCACTGGGATAATAAAGTATTATCTTATCTATCTTATGATTATCTCACAAACCTTCTTAGCTGGGTTATCTGGGTCAGGTATCCACTGTGGGGGTATCCCTCTCATGACACACATCATCATCATCATAACCATCACCTCCACCACCACCACCACCACCACCATCACCATCATCATCATCATCATCATCATCATCATCATCATCATCATCATCATCACCTTGATTATCTCACAAACCTTCTTGGCCGGGTTATCAGGGTCAGGTATCCTCTGTGGGGGTATCCCTCTCATCACACACACGCCTGCCATCACCAGCCTGACCCCCGCTGGGGGGCTCTTCATCGACTTGACGATGGTGATGTCTGCCGGCTGGGGAACGGAGAGGTTGTTTGTTAGTTTTAGTAAGGTTTTACGGTGTTCGCAACTGCATAAGGTCATATGAACGCCAAGGGGTGGATGTCAACAGAGAAGTCCAAATGGGGAATCAGGCTTACTCTGCTCACCTCTCAAGCTTCAACAGCACAAAGTCTGCTTCGACTATCAAGGCACCCGGAAATAGCGGGCCACAAGAGTGTGACAAACATACAAAAGAAGTAGAAGAAAAAATGACGATACTAAGGACGAGGAATGAAAAAGCAACAGTTCCCCCTATGTCGTTCAGGCACAGTATAAGTATGACATTGATAAATCAGCCCATTTACAACTCTACTGTGCATAAGGACATGCCAATATCCCCCCTTTGCAAATGCCCTAAAGAGGAGAGGTTGTGATGTTATTGTACAAGTTTTACGCCCCCATCAACTCCATTAAGATCATAAAAGATAAAAGATAAATCTTTTTCGTCCAGATCCTAGCACATTGGTTTGGTGTTTTACCACATACACACATACACACACATGCGCACGCGTGCGCGCCCACACACACACATATACGCACACACACACACACACCCAACCCCATTCCTCCCCTCCAACCCTCTTCTTTTCCCCTCTCTCTCTCCCCTCCCCCCACTTTTCCCCATTACCTTCAGTGTATCTAGAGCAGCTAACGCGGCTCTAACGCTCTCTCCCTCTCTCTCTCTCTCTCTCTCTCTCTCTCTCTCTCTCCTCTCCCCCCCCCTCCCACTTACCTTCAGAGTATCTAGAGCAGCTAACGCGGCCTCTAACGCGGGCATAGCCTCAGCCAGCTCTGCCTCACACTCGTCCTTGAGCGCCTGAGCCTCCGCCGCAGACTTGTTGGCCACCGCCTCGTCGGCCTTGACCTTGGTGGTAGTCTCGGCCACACTGGCAGACTCGGACTCGATCACCACCATCATTTTGTCCGTCTCCGCGGCCGATACCACCAGCTGGGGCTGTAGTTCCTCCAGCTCTCTCTGCATGGTGG